AGGCACTATGTTACCGGAGCTCCCAGCCTGTTCTTAGAGTCATTTATTTTCTCAACATCAAATACTAGGATAATCCCTCTATTTGATGACTGAGGCACCCTGGGGCAGTGAGCCACAGAAGGATGAGACGCTGTGAAAGAAAGTCATACTGGTGCTTTCTTGGGCAAGTGAGTTTCAGTAGAGAGAAATGAAAATGAAAGACTAGAAATCTGTTCCCTTTGTGCTGTTGTATAACCCACTACCCTTGGAGAGTATGCCACCACAGGGAAACACATAGCCCAGTGTGAAGACTCAGCCTCAGAGCCCCGTAACACAGTACATCCAACTGACAGAAGAACCCAGATCCACACTGCATTCGGAGACTATCTGCAGAGCTGAACCAAGCTTGCAGAAACAGAGACTCTATGTTACTTTGCAGCATGAGCCACAGAAGCATTGCTCTACTGTCAGAATTGTTTAAAATGTGTGCTTGGTTCCATCTTTTCCAACAAGACCCAGGGAACCCCCTGAAATATTTTTAACATCCATTCTTGTTTCCTGCGAAGCCAGACATCATTCAGCTGCATGAAGGAGGTAGAGGAAAGCAGATGCTAAGTACAGGGCAGAGGCAGTATGGGCATCATTGGGACTAGGAGAACTCGGGGCAAAGGCAAGGTGTGCACAAGGTGGTGGAGGTTGACTTTTCCGGCAGAGCTTTAGAAATTAAACTGAGATCGCATACTCACCTCTCTAGCAGGCGGACAGCAGTGCCCCTCTGAGCCTGCTCTGGCCGGCTGGGTGGATAGACGGTGGCAGGGCTGCTGCTCTCTGCCCATCCGTGTGAGGCTGGGGCAGCTTTGGATCCACACGCTCCCATGACTCTGTGAGGCTGGCCCACAGGAGAAGATGGGTGAGACTGCCTATGCTTCCTGCCTTACTATAGACTATTAGATGAGGTATCAGGTCCTGTTTGCAAATCCCACCCTGGTTCTCCCAGAAAGGGGCAGGTGTGTGACATACAGTTGTCATTCTTGGTGTGTGTGCAAGTCTTAGAACCTTATCCTAAATGTCAATAAAAAAGCCCATGGCATGAGCAGGAGATGGAGTCTGAGGTTTGGAAAAGACAAACTGTTTCTCTACTTCTGAGACATGTTCAGGTCAGCTGAGGTTTGTATTCAAGTCTGATATCTGTACAGCCCTGGTAGGGTATGACCTGCTGCATTTATCTTTCTAATAACTTTCATTTTTCTGATTACAAGAATACACGTTGACTATGGAAAAGCTCTGGTAGCATAGTGGCTAAGACACTTGCCTGCTAACCGGACAGCTGGTGGTTCAAACCCACCAGCCACTCCTCGGAAGGAAGGTTGGGCAATCCTACTTCCGTAGTGATACTGCCTCGGAAACCCAAGGAGGGGTCGCTATGAGTCGGGTTTGACTCAACGGCACATAACAACAACAACAACAATGGAAAAGCTGGCAAAAGCCAAAACAAAGAAGATTTAAAAAAAAAAAAAAAAAATCACTGGTAATCCTTTCCCCCGAGAAAACGTGGGCATGCAGCCCATCGAAGCAGGCGGAAGGTCATTTTCAGGAAGAGTGTCACTGGAAACTCACAGAAGAACTAGGGAGACAGGGCTTGTAAACAGTTCACCAGTGTTAATCAGACTTCAGATTGGGGCTGCACCATGTGAGGGACACTGAAGGTCACGTGCCCACCTTCCTGTCGTTTTCACCAAGAGTGAGTATTCAACATCATGGGTTCTCTTTTAACACCAAATGGCAGTAGCTCTCACGGGGAATGAGGGTAATGAAATTTGGTCCTGTAGGCAAAACTAAAAAAAAAAAAAAGCCGTTGGTTGATTGGTTGGTTTTGTGACAATCCTGTAAGAGAAATAGGCTTCAGGTCTTTTTCATGCATAGATAAAAGGATTCAAAATAAGGAGAAGCCCTCAGACTTGTCTAAGGGTTGTTAAACATGTAGGGACACAAAGCAGGAAACACCCATCCCTCCATTTGTGGAGCAGTGTAGTGCCTCATGGGAAGTGAATGCCCGGTGCCTGCTTTTAGAGGTGAGCACAGTTTTCTAGAAAAGCACACAGGATATTAAATGATGAAAACAACTCTTTTCTCCATTTTGGAAGACTGTTTTCCAGGTTGTCAAACTGCACCACTTCAGTTGGATTTCTCTGTTGGTGTTGTTGATAGTTACTGTCGAGTTGACTCCTACACGTGGTGGCCCATGTGTGCAGAGTAGAACTGCTCCGTTGTGTTGACTTAATATGCTTCTGAAATGGAGTTTTTTGTTTACTGACTTGGCTGTGTTTTTTGTAAGGTTTTATACCAGAATTATTCCCTCATAATTGTCCAAATGAGAGCAGTAAATTCACCGAGCCTATTCCTGTGGCCCTTTTAATATACACTGCTGCAGTTTGGAAATTCAAATTTTGGGAAGTATTTTTATTTTCGAAATACTGCCTTTGTTTGAAAACACAACAGTTGTAAAATCTCATTTTCCTGAAGTTTGAACAGAAATACATTCAAATTTAGAGGAAGGCTGTTTCCCCCACCCCACAGGAACCCTGGGAAAATGCATCTTTGTGCAAAAATAGCTGCATCTTGACTTTACTTATAGTTTATGCCCAAACAGGGCTCACAGATGCCTATCTACCATTTCGATGAAGATTAACAAACTAAGTTTTAGTTCTCTTATAATACTAACAAGCAGCAAGGATTTTGTCTTAGCAGTGGGAGAGTGAGCGCTGCAGTGATACCTTCTGGCCACCAGACGGCGATATGTCCACAGGCAGCTCTCAGGGCCACCAGGGAGAGCCCCTTTGAAACTATTGTTTTGGCATTTCTGGATTTAACAGTATTTTTAACACTGAAGTTTTAGTAAAATTTTATCTGGTTTCCAGGACATCACAGGATGATCTCTAATTAAAACACATTTTTAACGAAGCCTAAATAGAAGTCTCTCAAAGTGACTTTTAAATATTCCTTAAAAACAGAAAATATAGCACACTGAATACATTTGGAGCCTATTTCTATAGAAACAATAACAAGCAAGGTATAGATACTGTTTACTTAACTAAAAGACCTGAAAATGACTTAGACTTTTCTTCTGAAGCATTCAGGCCTTCTGTAACAGCTCTCCTCTGGGCTGGGGTTACCTAATTCTCATTTATCCAGAAGCTCCTGCTTCTGGCAAAGCCAGCAGCCCTTGCTCACATCCTGCTTTCCCACCTGCATCCTCAGTGTTGCATCGCTGTGTCATTGCAGCATGAGATGGGGAAAGGGCCTTCTGGGTATGTGACTGTAGGGAGGACACCCACCAGGAACAGAAGGTGTGGCTCAGGGTACCACTTGGGGCACAGGATGATACTAAGTTTGAGGCCCCCAAAAATCAGGGTGGGCATGTATGGGGGCCAGAACTGGAAAGCTCAGTGGAGTGGGTAGAGCATGACTCAGAATCCTGACCTCAGAATCCTAATCCTGGATTAGGATCAGAGTGGATAGATGTAAAGACATGGTGAATGGCTGGGCCCTGCACTTCAGAATGGGCCTCACCAACCTTGCTGACATTCAGCTTTACTTACTGACGGGGTGACCATGGCGCTGTCCTGCTGTGGGAGGTGGTTGGAGTCTGCCCACTCCAGCCAAGATCCCCCTCCCTACCCTGCTCCTCACCCCCAGAGCTCCTGGCATCCTTAGAAATAGCTCAGCTCCTGTGGGAAGCCTTCTTTGACTCCTCTACCCATCCTGAACTGGGTACACTGTTTTCGATCAGAATTATTATTGAGTACCACTTGTATGTCAGGCACTGCACCAGAGGGCTAAGGGTAAAACAAGGTAACTCACATTTTCTAACTATAAGAGACAAGCAGGGGAGACAGAGTTAAGCCTCTGTTAGAGTGTAGCTCAATAAAGTACGAAAATGTGGTGACGGTGACGTGTGATGTGGGAAGAGCATTGCAGAATGTTTCTGGGGCACACGGCCACTGCTCAGCAGACAGCCTGTCCCTAAGATTAGGGAATAAAGAAACAAACCAGTTGCCAACAAGGTGATTCCAACTCATGGGTACATTGTGTGTCAGAGTGGAACTGTGCTCCAGAAGGTTTTCAGTGGCTGATCGTCTAGAAGTAGATCACCAGCTTTTTCTTCTGAGATGCCTCTGGGTAGACTCAGACTTCCACACTTTGGGTTAGAAGCTGAGCACATGAACTGTTTGTCCCGGGGATTCCTCAAGAGTTAGTAGGTTCCCTTAATAAGTGACTGGAATAGGTTTCTCTCTCACCCACCCCTCCACTGCCATCAAGTCGATTCTGACTCATAGTGACCCTGTAGGACAGGGTAGAACTGCCCCATAGAGTTTCCAAGGCTATAAATCTTTTCCGAAGCAGACTACCTCATCTTCCTCCCATGGAGTGGCTGGTGGGTTTGAACCGCTGACCTTCTGGTTAGCAGCCGGATGCCTTAACCACTCCACCACCAGACCTCCTTCCTTTTACATAAAGAAGCCCCTAAAACATTTCCTTTACTCTTTTTCCTCCAGAAGGTTGAGAAAGGGACACTGGGGAAATAGCAGTTAGTTTGGTCTACAGAGGTCAGCAGGAGAGTCCTTTCCTCTGGGTGTCTGTCTCATGGCCCTCACTGGACTCTGCTTGACAGCTCTTGACGGCTTCATCTGCTGCACCAGGCAAGGCCAGTAAGCAGATGCTCATGCTGAGATTTGCAGCAGGAACCTGCTGTGTGTGTGATGTCTGAGTGAAATGAATCACCCTGAAGCACTTCCTGGTGATCATCAGGCCTCATCCTTCTGGGCACAAGATCAAGTGGATTCTGTTTTTAATACCAATTTGGTGGTTAAGCTGCAACTCTGCTGTCCAACCAGGCAATTAATTAAATGGCTTTTCCCCTGGAGGATGCAAGTTCGTGGAGCTTGGGCTTGGTGCCTGGCTTGGTGGGCCCGCGCAGCCGTGATGTGGCAGCTGAGTGTGTGCTGTTTTTGTATTTGCAGGAATGAGCTAGAGCGACAGTTTCTTGAATTGCTCCAGTTCAACATCAATGTTCCTTCCAGTGTTTATGCCAAGTATTATTTTGATCTCCGTTCTCTGGCAGAAGCAAACAACCTGAGCTTCCCCTTGGAGCCCCTCAGCAGGGAAAGGGCTCACAAGCTTGAGGTAAGATGCTTTTGAAAAAATTGTTTCTGTTGGAGTGTGTTACTGCAGGTGTTCCTTCTTAGTACCATGAAAGTGTTTGATAATAATGATAATTTTTCATTGTTATCAAATGAAGCCCAGGATTTAAGAGCTCTGGTGGCATAGTGCCTAATGCATTTGACTGCTAACCAAGGGTTGGCGGTTCAAACCCACCAGCTACTCCTCAGAAGGAAGATGGGGCAGTCTACTTCCATAAAGATTTACCGCCTAGGAAACCCAGTAGGGATCACTCTGAGTTAGAATCCACCCAGTGCCAGTGGATTTTTTTTTCCCCCCCAGGATTTATAGTCGGTCCATTAATTTAGTTGACTATAATTTATACAACCTCATATTTTCAATAGTCTTTTTTTTTTATTGTGGTAAAAATATATATAAAACAAAACATTTGCCATCTCAGCACTTTTTATGGTACAGTTCAGTGACATTAATTACGTTCCCTATGTTCTCTAAAGGAGCTCTGGTGGTGTAGTGAATAAGGCATTTGGCTGCTAACCAGAAGGTCAGTAGTTCAAACCAACCAGCTGCTCCACAGAAGGAAGATGGGGGCAGTCTTCTGTAGAGATTTATAGCCTTGGAAACCGATGGGGATCGCTATGAGTCAGAATTGATTCAATAGCAGTGAGTTTGGGGTGGTTTTTTTTTTTTTTTTTTGGTATGTTCTATAACCAACACCAATATCCATTTCCAAAATTTTTTTGTCACTCTTAACAGAAACTCAGTGCCCCTTAACCAGTAACTTCCCCTCACCCCCTCCCACCCATCTCTGATAACAACTAATAAAGTTGGGCCAGTTTGGCCTCTGTGTATTTGCCTAGTCTCAATATCTTATATAAGTGGGATCATACAGTATTTATCCTTTTGCGTCTAACTTATTTCACTCAGTGTTTTCCAGGTTCATCCATGTTGTAGCATGTATCAGGACTACATTTCTCTTTCTGAATGAGTAGTATTCCATTGTATGTATGTACCACACTTTATTGATCTATTCCTCACTTGATAGACATTTAGGTTGTTTCTACCTTTTGGCTATTGTGAATAGTGCTGCAGTGAACATTGGTGGACATGTGTCAGTTTGAGTCCCTGTTTTCAAGTCTCTTGGGTCTCTACTTAGGAGTGGAATTGCTGGGCTGTATGGTACTTCTGTGTTTAATAGTTCTATGTTTAATTTTTTGAGGAACCACCAAACTGTTTCCCACAGGGGCTGCATTTTGCATTCCCATCAGCAGTGGATGAGGGTTTTAATCCTTGCCAACACGTGCTATTTTGTTTTTTTCTGATACTCCCATTCTACATAGATGCCACAAGTGAGTAGATTTAAAGAACAGAAATTTATGTCACAAATTAGGAAAGTAGAAGTCCAAATTCAGGCCTGGCTCTCGGGGGAGGTCCTTCTTTGTCTCTTTCAGCTTCTGGTAGCTGCCAGCAATCCTTACAGGTAATCTTTCTTCATGGTCTGCCCTCCATTTTTCCTCTGTATATATCTCTGTGTCTAATCTGCTCTTTTTATAACTCAGAAGTGATTATATTTAGAACCCACCCTCCTTCTTGTTGTTAGGTGGCATTGAGCCTGTTCAGACTAACAGCAACCCTGTGTACAACAGAACGAAACACTTCCCAGTCGTGTGTGCCATCCTCACAATCATTGCTATACCTGAGCCCATTGTTGAAGCCACTACGTCAATCCATCTCATTGAGGGTCTTCCCCTCTTTCACTGACCCTCCCCTTTACCAAGCATAATATCCTTCTCCAGGGAATGGTCATGACCAAAGTAGGTGAGATGAAGTCTGGCCATTCTCGCTTCCAGGGAGCATTCCACTTCTTCCAGGACAGTTCTTTTGACAGTTTATGGTACTTCCAGTATCCTTCATCAACACCACAATTCAAAAGCGTCAACTGTTCTTTGACTGCCCAGCTTTCACATGCATATGAGGTGATTGAAAATACCACTGGCTTGTGTCAGGCACACCTTAGTCTTTAAAGTGACTTCTTTGCTCTTCAGCACTTTAAAGAGGTCTTTTGCACCCTGCTTGACCTAAATAACATGACAAAGAAAACCCAGTTTCCAAAGAAGATAACACCCACTTGTGAAGGGGCCACAATTTCAATACAGATATTTTGAGGCTATGGTTCAACACAGCGAGGGCAGCCCTTTCAGCCTGGCCCTGACAGATCTTCTCTTTCCACCCATTGCTGTCCAAGATGACCCTTCCTACAGACCCTAACCTCACCCCACTTCTCACCAAGCCTGATACTATGTGGCCATGATTTCCTCCTTTCTCTCTGTACAATCTCCTCCTCCTCCTCCTCCAAGTCTACTTCTGCTGCCATTCCTCAGTTAAGAGGTCCCCATCAGGGACTCCCAAAGAACATCAGCTGCTGAGTCTTCTCTGTTCAGTGTACTTTGAACACACCTCTATTAAGTCCATGCCTCCCTTATGTATGTCTCTCAATCAGAACTTACCATGTCCATCCAGTTTTTATTTACCCAGCATCCTCTGAGTATCAGACACAGTTCTAAGCCCTGGGCAACTGTCATGATCCCATCCTTGCCATCTTGGAGTTTACCTCCTGGTGGGAGAAGACAGAAGTAAACAATAAACATAATAAATAAATCGTCTAATATGTTGTTGTTGTTATTATGTGCCGTTGAGTCCGGTCCCGACACATAGCCACCCCTCCTTGGGTTTCCGAGTATGTTAGGAGATGAGAAAAAGAAAAGTAGAGCAGAATGATGAGAGGAGTGCTGTATTAAGTGACTCCCTTGAGGTGGTGATATTTGCATGAAGACTTGCCCATGGGGAAGAAAAGAGTTGGGCACCCAGCTATCTAGGAGAAAAACTTTCCAGGCTACCAAAAGAGGTGTCAGGTGGGAGCAACCCAGCATAATGGAGGCCTAGCAGGGAGGCTGGGCAGCAGGAGCAGGGAGAGGAGAAGGGGAGGAGATGGAACTGAGCTCTGCAGGCTTTGTAGGGTACAGGGATGACTCAGTTTTAGAAGGCCACTGCAGAGAAGTGACAAGATTGGACTTAGGTTTTAAAAGGAGCATTCAGGCTCTGGTAAACAGGGATGGAAGTAAAGAGATCAGCTTAGAAGGATGATTGCCACAGTCCAGGCGAGAGACAGTGGGGATCTGGCCAGGGTGGCTGCAGATGAGGGAAGGCAAGGGCTGTGGAGACAGCAGCTGGCAGCTTCTGTGCTTTGGTCCCTCCACAGTGATGGCCATATGTCTGTTCCCTGGCCACTCCAGCCTTATCCTTTGGATTGTATAGAAATAAAAAGGCATCATCTTTTCATCATCAGAAGCGACTCACCCCCGTCTTTGGGATAATCTTGTCAAATGTTGACACAACCTTGACTGGGACAGACTGTCTGAGCTGACCAAGGTCTGTCCTGCCTCTGACAACAACAGCTGTTAGCCCAGGAGAGTGTCCCAGGAAAGTGGTGGCCAGCACTGACCCCTACACAACCCTGGCCTTTCTTGGGGCCCTGGTAGGCCCTTTGCCCACCTTAGGCCTCATTGTCCTGATCAGTGACACCCAGCACTTCTGTGATTACCTCCTTGTCTCCTTGGTCCCCTTTTTCTCAAGTTGACTCTCCTACTCGACCCTTTTCTGCTTTGATTCCTTTAATTCCTGGCACAACTGAAGCTGCTCATAGCTGACATGTATTGAGCTCTCCTCCCAACTGACCCTGCACTAAACTTCTATGCATTGTGCCTCATTTGAGTTCACACCATCCCTGTGGGGAAGGTGCTGTTGATGTCACATTCCGAGGTAAGGCTGGAAGGATCCAAGACATGGACACGTGCTCGCATACCATGAGCTGGTGGAGCTGGTATTGAACTCATGTCTGCAGACCCTTCACTACACCGTCTTCTAATTCTTTGACATTCCAAGAATCTTTTCTTAATGTGCCTGTAAGCATTTGGGAAATAAGGGCTGTGCCTATACAGGTAGTCCATGACAGACAACTTGGTTTCCTTCCATTGTCAGTCAGTCTTGAAGGAAGTCAAACACATCTTATTGAATATTATTACGTTCATTATTAGTATCTTTATATTTCTGATCTTTGAAAACCTGTGAGTGAACATCCGAGAACGGTAACATGAGCAAATTTCACACTGCAACAATGTATGTAGTACATATTAGGAGCCATAAGATAGATGGAAAAACAAACCCCAGATGGTGGTTACATGTGGTTTATGGTAACTCTAGTATGTCCTAAGTAAGTCAGGGACTTACTTACTTACTTGTGTATCCCCTGCTGCACGCAGTGCAGATGGGGGGCCGAGGGGTGTAGTAGACTCCAGGGGGGCAGGGATGCATAGCTGCTTTGTCCACCGAAGTGCCCTCAGAGCCTAGAACAGTACCTGGCACACACAATGAGCCCTCGCCCAGGAGGTGCTTAGCAGGCACAGAGCTCTGATGTGCTTGTCTCTCTCTACCCGCAGGCCATCTCTCGGCTGTGTGAGGACAAATACAAAGACTTGAGAAGACCCACGCGGAAGCGGTCAGCGAGTGCTGACAACCTGACTCTGACGAGGTGGTCCCCGGCTATCATCTCCTAACAGTGGACCTCCTTTTTGAAGGACTGCTTCCATCCCTCCGGTTTCTCCTTTAGTTCGAGAAAATACAAGACTTGGGGTGGTTTTTTGTTTTTGTTTTTGCTTTTCTTTTTTCCTTCCCTTTTTTTTTTTTTTTTCAATTCGTAGCTCTGTCACACCACATCAATGACGCCTCCGCGCTGTGGCCGCGTGCAGCAAGGCTTCGGGGAAGTGAAGTCAGTATTCTGGAAATCTCATTTCATGCCTTCCCCCCATCGTCATTAACAGCATTTCCTTTGTGGAGGAAACACTGACTCTAATCCTGGAGGAGAAAATAAAGGGAAAGCAAAGTAGTATAGAGATAGGGAAAAATGTCTAAATGGCTTTGCCATCCCCTAAGTTCACCCATCTCGTCGATAGATCAATACAACATGAACACAAAGCCTAGATAAACAGAGTTGGATGTGCATTAAAGAAACTGAGTGGCTGTGTTTTATCATAACCTCTTTGGATCAGTATGTTCTGTGAGACTTTTTGCATTCCTTCTTGCTGCTTATTTTGGGCCTGGGGGATTTTTGTTTGTTTTCATCCTGTTTTGGTTTTAGTCCCACAGAGCAGAGAATATAATTTGTGTCCACCCTGGCACGAGCCTCCAAATAAATAGTACTGGTTGCTCCTCTCTGCAACCTGTGAGCTGTATTCTGAGGTTTCTCCCTCATAAGTGGGACGTACTTGTTATGTTTCTGTACACCTTTTTATGATCCACTTTCTCTTCAGCAATGGCAAAATTAATGTGACTGTAGTGCTAAACCAAAAGTACCCTTTTCCCAACCTTATCTCTCACCCCAAGAAAATTCTAGATCACGTGGGTGCTTGTGCCTTTCTATTTCCTCAAAGCTATTTTGTTTTCTCTGACCTGAAGTTGTTGCCACAAAACCAGTCAGACTTTGTGGGCTGAGGGAAACAATGTGCAGCAAAAGGTGCCATCTGGATGAGATGTGTGTTTCTGAGTGCGGGGTGTTTGCCTGAAGTCACTGAGTGGGAGCCATTTTTTTTTTTTTTATACACCCTGCCTGGTTCCTTACTTCATTTTCATGTCCATTGTTGCAAGCAATATTCTTCTCAATTTTTATATGTTTACTTTAAATCAAAATTAAGTCTATTTGTATAAAATTTTTTAAAAATCTAAAATAAAAAAAAAAAAAACAACCAAGGGTGGGTGGGTATTCCTGTGGGAAGATCATTGAAGAGCAAAATGTTAATATTTACTTGAGGTATTTTTCACAGAATGATTGAATTAAAAAAACTCACATTTTTCATTGTGGGTGCTTAGAGAAGTTACATGAAATTCAAACTGTGAAGGTTTATGCTTCATTAATTATTACCATACACTTTAATTTTCTGACCATCCCTGATTTCCTTACGGGTTAGATAAGAATCTTTTATATTAAGTCATATAAAAGGGTTCATGTATAATGTCAAAGAGTCAGTTTGATATTAAATCTCAGAATCTGAGTCATGTAAACATACAGTGCTTTTGGTTTATTTGCAGATTTTCTTAGATCACAAGACAGGTTTCTGAGTTTTTTTTCTTTTTCAAGTGTCTCTGATGTGAACAGCAGCAGATGGTCTATTTCACCTTATTCTTCTGTGGGCTTGGAAAACTTTGGAATCCCATATTAATTAATGTTGATTACCCTGAAATTATACGTCTGATCCCCAAACTATGCCTTCCTCTTAATGAAACATGCCATGGAAATGGACTCAGAAAGTTGAAATACCAACAACACCAAACCAACATTTCTAGTCTTGAAATGAATTTCTATCATGTGTAAACTGTCCTATTTGGGTTAGAAATATCATCAGTTCTTTCTAGGCTAACATTTGAAAAGCAAATAAGCAAAATATAAAAAGTGAACTACCTTTCTATTGTAATTGTGTTGATACACTCTGTGTGAGCACCAAACTGAGTTTCTCTCTTCAAGTAAGAGTTGGATTTAGAACTTTAAAAATGTAGAAAAATATTGTTTTCTATTCCCTACTTTATATAGCTGAAAAAGGGACATATTTTCTTAGCAGAATATGAATTACCTCTCAAGCATAAATTAGTTTTTCTCATTATGTAAAGTATCTTATTTTACCGATCCATTTCAGGAAAGAGTGTTCTGCTGCCTTGATAGCAGAAATCTTATTTTTATCCCTTTTATTTGAATGAGAGAGATTTGAAAATTGAATTTATGTAAATATTTCAATGCATCTGCTATTATTTTGTGGAGTTTATTAAACGACTTTAAAAAATTGTATAGTCTATTTATTGTATGTATGTACATACAGTCTGATACTTAAAATTTAAAAGTGGGTTCCGTAAAACCTGGCTCAGTCTTGTTTAGACGATTGAATATCGTTTTAGCCTTGTGCACTGGACTCTACCTCTGTATAGGAAAATTTTCCATATTTATTCATTAGTATTGATTCTGTATTAACTTGGTTATGTTTCTTGCACTTAGGATTTTTAGAACTCTGCTGTAAGGTATAAATTTTAGTTTTCCTTTTGTAGTATGAATCACGTGACACTTAGGTAACTACTTTAAGTTCATTTTCTTTTTTTTCCTACATGATGATGAACACTTACATTTTGTTCTCTGGTTTGTTCTAAGTTTGCCAAAAAAAAAAAAAAAAAGTACAGTACCTATTGATAAATCGTAGTGACTGTAATTTGTTTGCAAGGTGATTCAATACCCTAAAATTAAAGCTGGATTGCTATTTAGGAACACATTGTCTTAGTGTAGTTTTTGAATGGACAGTTTTCATCATGGATGAAGAAAACCACATGCTTTGTTGGCTTTTAGAGTTGACTTACGAAATGAAATCATTGGGAGATTTTATACACACACACACACACACGCATATATACACATATCTTCCAGTGAATCTTTTTCATTTCACTTTTTTGGACTGAAAAAAGGGGCAGCAGTCAGGGCTTTTAAACCAAATTGGAGGGTAAGATGAGAGATTCTGCCAAAAACCAACATGTCTTCCCATGCCTTAATACATTAAATGGGGCTGGTATAAGGGGCCTCGTACCTATCATCTCTCTCTTCTGAGTTGGTTCTTGTGAGTTCCTTCACTTGTTTTTTGACAGGGGCATCAGCCTGTTGAGTTTGCCCTTGGTTCTGGGGATCCTACTTTCAGCTGAGCTGCAAAGAGTAGAGTTTTGGGAGCAAGAGATTTCATGCAGTCCCCCTGCTTTTGGTAACCTCTCGTCTGGTGCCATATTTCACGGCTTTGATTTTTAAAATATTATGAAGTATACTTCCTGGTTCACTGTAGGTAATTGGTAAGTTTAACAAATAAATAAATAAAGCAGAACAAATAGTGCCTGCCTTCCTGCTGCATTTTTTGAATATTATGTTGAGATAAAATTCAACAGGTTATATGGACACTGAGGGAACCAGTGCTTTGCAAGAGAACTAATAGAATGATACTGAGCAATTCACAAGAGTTTAAGCCCTTTGGAACCTCCACCAGTTGAGATTGATAGACCTCATAGAGTGCTTTTAAATCAAAACCCTAGATAAATACATAGCTGTCATCAAGTAGACTCCAACTCACACAGCAACCTATGTACAACAAAACAAAAGGCTGCCCAGTCCTGTGTCGTCCTCACAATTTGAGTCCATCCTGTGCATAAACCAAGGATCTCTCCCTCACCGTTGCTGGTTCTATACTTCACCACAATGTTCTCCTCCAGCAACTAATCCCTCATGATCACGATGTGCCAGCGCCAGTGAGTCGGACAGTGTTCTATTGTGATCCTTAAGGTTTTTATTGACTACTTTTCAGAAGTAGATCACCAGGACTTTCTTCCTAGTCTGTCACAGTCTGGAAGCCCTACTGAAACCTGTCCACCATGGATGTCCCTGCTGGTATTTGAAATACTGGTAGCATAGCTTCCAACATCATAGCAACACACAAGCCACCACAGTACGACAAACTGACAGGTGGTGGATGGTAGCCTTTTATTCTTAAATCACTGTATCTCCCTTGACTTCACAGGAGTCTGCATCTCAAAAATTTCATTGAGTGGCTCTCATAGACATGGATCATCTTTTGAGAAGCTAACCACAGAAAGCCCCTGCCCTTGTTGGAAAACAAGGAAACTAAAAGAAGCCTAGAGCTGAGTTGAGAAAGGAGGCTTAAAAACTGGCTTGGGTTTTATGTCTTAAGCTATATGCACTACCAGGAAAGTTCTACAACAACTTCATTAAGATCATGATTTGCTGTTACTAAGCACTGCCTTAGTAGGGCTATTGCACCAGAGAGTCAACCCACCCCCACAGGCAACAAAGAGGCCAGAGTGGTTAGGGAGACACCTAAAAGGGCTTGCAGTCAAAATCAAGGGTGGAGTTTGTACTGACCAGGCCAACCGACTTCTTCCAGATTTTCCTGTTAAGTTTTCCTATGTTGTTGTTGTTATGTACGGTCAAGTCGGACCCGACTCATAGTGACCCCTCCTTGGGTTTCTGAGTCAGTATAACTACGGAAGTAGATTGTCCAACCTTCCTTCTGAGGAGTGGCTGGTGGGTTTGAACCGCCAGCCTTCTGGTTAGCAATCAAGTGCCTTAGGCACTATGCTACCAGAGCTCCCCTATAGAATTTGTAAATATGTGATGGTGCTAAAAGGCCATTTTGCATTTGAACATTTCTTCAGGAGTTCCAATGATCAACATTGAAATGCTCGGTTTTCATCCATCTCTCAAGTAGAAAAAGTCACTGAAAGCTGTTGTGTGTTGGTATTGCTGCACGTCCAAGCCATGATTAAGCCCCCAGTGGTAATGATTAATCCAGGCAGTTGTTTCTGTCTGTTGTAGATCTTTGAGAAACAGTTCTGGAAGAACCTATTAGAGTGAGAAATTAAAACATGGTATTTGACTAGATAGTATTCAGATTCGACAGGTTTCAGTATTCCTCTACCCTTTAGTGACTTGGATTGTTGTTATTTGCCATAGAGTCAGACCCAACTCA